TTGAGTGCATAACATACGCGAGGCGTGGCGAGTCTCAGACACCTACAATGCGGAGCGCGTGTTCGTTTACTTCTTTTGCAGAGGTTTGTGGTTACGTCACAATGCCGAGCTCTGATTGGCTCTGATTGAAGAATAGTGGGTATACCTCAAGGCAGCCTGCTTTGAGGTCTACCCACTATATTCAATCAGAGCCAATCAGAGCTCGATGTCTTCCTGACGCCACCACAACCCCCCAAAGAAGCAGAGGATTGCGCGCTCCGCATCGACACTCCATAGCCAATAATGTTGCCAAATCTTTCGACAAGAACGCTGAGGGGAACGATCACGAAGCATGAAGCGCGATCAAAATAAGCCGGGCCCTACGTTTTCTCAGCTGCCAGTGACTGAAGCTCTGCACGCGGAGCAACTAGAATGAAAGACTTGCCTGGCGATGGTCCTGAGCACGTTCTCGGTGTAGGCCACGTCGTGCTCGTGGCTTTCCGCGTGGAAGAAGCCGAACACGATGAGGTAGTCTTCGCGGAGCAGAGCACGAAGTTTCTGCACCAAATACTTCTTTTAGCGATAAAAAAAAAAATAAAAAAAATAACAATAACAGCAATCGCCTCCGGACTAAACCACCACACACTCTAAAAGTGGCCGTGAATTAACATTTCTCTAGAACGCGGAGACGATCAATCACAGTGAGCAATGGAAGAACCTCAGGAAACGACAAAACTCATAATACGATTAGTCAATGTGCGCGTTGTCCTCGCGGGCATCGCAGTTTTCAGATCTAATTGTGTTCCGGGCATCATCGTTCGCTGTGATTCTTTCATTTGTTCACCTGGATGTGCTACTTTCGTGCTCTGCAAGAAAGAAAACTTAGACTTTTAAGAGTGCATGCATGGCAAAGAATACTGCCTACTGCTGTCAATAATGAGTAACACTCGTAGGGATACATATTTCCGAGAACACCCTAGGTAATATAATCGCGTTCACTCGTGAAACAGGGTCACCAATCAAGTATGGGAACAATTCAATTAAGCAATATGCAGTCTGGACGAGCGCTGTCCTAAGTACCGTTAACACTCTTTATGCCAGTTCTTTCCTTTAAATATCACCCCATCTGAACATTCAAGCATAGCTCATGTTACGGTTGAGTCCATCCGTACACGCCTAGTTCAAAGTTGTTTATGGTCCATTCGTGTGCTTTTTATACTGTTGTGTGTCCGCGCCTGCGACTTTAGGGGATATTTTTACCAAATTTACGTACCGGAGTCGTAAGTGAACGCTCATATATCGCGACGATTTATTTTGTAAACACACTGATTCCGGCCTCTCAGCTATGCACCGAACAGAGTGCACACTGGCACCGCGATCACTGCCCGTGCTGTGCAAACCATTTTTGGAAAACAGGAGCATCTGAGCAATGCTCAATACCGCAGCTATTTCCTCGGAGTGACCTCAGAACCATCAGTTGCGTTCCTTAGATTGCTATGAAGCAGACACACTTCAAAAGCTAGTCTGTCCACAGTAATCAGAAACCGCATTGTCCATTGCGACCTCTGCACTTTGTGATATAGTATCTCAGCGGAATGGAAAACAAATTAGAGCAGATTAAGGTAGGTTATGATGGTATCTACAGAGGAGAAAGGTGGTACAAGTAACCAGGACGTTTTTGCGGGCATCATAGTACTCATGGCAGACAACCGTGATCAATTACAGGAACTAACTGTGATATCTGAAGAGGAAGGGGATAGTTTGGGACTGAGTTTCAGTAGTCTGGAGTAATGGTGTTCAACGACGGAAAGAAGAACCCCTGAAAATACAAGACAGTTGACTAAAGTATCTAGAAAAGTAGACATATCTGGGAGTATGGATCAATGAAAGAAGGAAATACCTAGAAAAAAAAAAAAGAATATATAATTAGAAATGAAAATTTAAGTTCAGGTATGATTAAACTGAAGAATTACGGAGTTGTACAAGATACGCAGTGATCATAAGTATGTGAAAAAGAGTAACGGTGCCAGGACTTAATTTTAGCAATAGGGCACTGTGCATGAGATCAGAGATTTAATCAGGATTAAAAATTCGACAAAGAAGCGTGGGCAGGTTAGCACCTGGAGCGCAAGGCAGCACACCAAATGAGGGTCTGCAGGGGGAAACGGTCTGGTTGTCCTTTGAGAGCAAAGAGGCAATTGGTAAATTTGAATTGAAGAAAGGCTGCTAACTGATATGAATGATACCCGTTGTGCACGGAAAGTATTCAATTATTTATACATAAATAGTTTAAACAGAAAAGGGGGGAAAAATCGAAAGATAATATTTAGATACCTAGAAACTATATCGATTGCACTTATCAGACTAGTTCAGTGAAAAGATGGGTAAAGGAGGCAGAAACAAAAATATGGGAGTGAAGACTCAAGCAAAATCAGGTTTAGCAATGCATAAGTAACAAAAACAGCACATAAAAAAAAAGAGGTGCTTGATTATTCACGGGGAAGTTCTTTGCTGGTTGGGGCGAGGAGGAGAGTGTTCAGAAAAAAGATACCCTGTTGAAAAAAAAAAAAAACAAAAAAAAAAAACAGCATAAAATTGTTTGCAAACTGGATTTCAGGCTTCCAGCAAAAAAAAGAAAAAAAATCCAGTTTGAATGTCTGTCCCGTAATCTAGTTTCTAATAGTTTTTTTTTTTGCTTCAGTACGGTATGTAGGGCTAAATATCAAGACATAAACATATGACGTGACGTATGCTTTAGAGAGTGCAAAACGCTAAAGCATTTGGTTTTGAAATGCCCTGCTCTACCTGAAGAAGTGACGGATTTGGTGTAGGCCCTTGGTTTCGCTGGTGCGAATGGGAGAACAAAAGAGGTTTTGATTACAACCACAAAGAGGAGGTTAGAAGGTTGGTAGAAATTATCTAGGAACAATTGTAAGAAATACGACTAACTAGCAGAGCTGGGGGACAGGCGAGACAGAGGAGAATTGAGACGCCTTCCAGCTTGGCTCGAGTCCAAAGTCTAAACTCTGTCTTACAGTCCGGTGTTAGGGTAACGGTGACAAGGTATGGCCGAAAGAAAATTTGCTACTCCCTCGCGGGGGGGGGGGTGTTTTTTCATGCTTGATCCTCCGAAAATTATCCTGGCGATATCTCACAATGTCTTGGGAAAATTGCAAAAATGCAGAGTGGAAGACAATTGGCTTAGAAGGGCAGGGGGAGGAATGGTGTGTTTTGGCTTTTAGGCTACGCCGCGCAAGCCACCGAATGTTATAGAGAGTACAGCCATTAGAATCCACCCATTCATTCATGCTGGGGCATTAGTATGGCAACTGTAGGCACGCATTAGCAGCGCTTGCCTACCACTGCATCTAGATACAAGGTGGCGCCCATACGCCGTACTTGCAAACGTTGCAATACTTTTCCCATAAAACGCCCCTAAGCCGCCGCCATGTTGCTGATGATTATGAAACTAGTTCGAATCTCACAACCCCTAGCGGCTAGAAACTACCTGCCAAGTTCTTTCGCTGTTGAAGTCTACTCAGCTCAGCTCTCCTGTGTTGTGCGTTCCAAATGTTCATAGTTTTACTGGAAGTAGCCACTTTAATTTTTTCTTGCTGCGCACACCCTTTGTGTTATCCTCCACTGTGAGAACCAGTGTTCGTAGCCTGGGCTCCTCCATAATCAAGTTTGTCTGCTCGGCATTCCAGGGAAACGAACGAAGGGTACAGCGTCGAACATCTTGCGACGCGCGACGCTGCGGGCAATGAAAACTGTTCTCCGTTGAGGTAAGAGTTTCGGTAATGAACTGAATGTTAAAGGCGCAAACGAGCTGGTGATTATTAAGCATGAGAAAAACCCCGAGGCTGCGGGTAAAAAAAAAAACAGATACACAAGTAGGTCGTCTAGTGTAGGTCCTTACAGTATAATGCCTTCTGGTGAAGCCTTGTAGTGTAAAGGCCTTCTAGTGTCTAGAAATGTAGATGTCGTTCCGCTCGAACAGCACCGAGCTTCGTGCCCGAAACCTATCGAGGTTGCCGATGCCGCCACGTCGCAGTGCAGACGACGCACTATTTTCTTGACAGAGGAGGCACTTGTAGCTGCCGCATTACAGCCGTGGACACGAAGTACCTCCGCCAGCCTCCGCCGCGCTACGTATCCTCTCCCTCCTTCCCCCGCATTCTGAATACGCCCATGTTTTTCGTATATCCGTCCAAACCAAACAAAAATTTATCTCCGTATTTTCTGCGCCAGTGTTCCATCGTACGAATCCGGAATACGTGTTGGTTTTTACCGCGCTGTCTGCTACGACGCTCCATTCGCAGATGGAAATAAAACAAGAAAACACTATACGTCGTCTGCTGACGGACCGAAAAAGAAACGTTGATTTTCTACCATAAAACGAGAGCCGTCGCGATGTGAGATCGGAGGCAGGCTGAAATTTTAAACGTCTACTAGTCCACGTTGCAAGTCATTGACGACTCGAGTTTCGCTTCAAAATTTGAAGAAGTTGTCTTACTGCGGTGGACAAGCGTACATTAGCCGGTGGTTGAAGAAGTACCAAGGACAAGCACATCAGAGGCCGCGATACTTTTCTCGCTGTTAGTGAGCCATCCTAACCGAAATATTGCCCGATTATAAACTTGCAAACCGGTCAAAAACGTATCACTGGTTGATTGCGCGCGAGTTTTGGTAGCATGTCCAATCAGAAGCCCAGAACCCTCTCGCTTTCAACATGACAAAAATCAGAACCCAAACCTAAAGTAAAAAACCTAACGCAAGATTTTTTTTTTTATTTTTTGAAAAGGGATCATCTCAACTTCTAACGTCACGCCACAGTGGTGGCGCTGCCGTCGGCACTGCGCATGCGCAAGGGCTTCATCTCACGCGAATCGGGTTTCTGGACACTCGCAGTCCCAAACGTGGTGAGGTCTCAACCTCGGGCTCGTTTGTGAACAGCGTGTTGGTCTACAAACAAGCGTCAGAAGGAGCATGCGGCGGAGTGCGCAGATATCCCAACGAACCTTGAGGAACCCCGCGTAGACGTCGACGTTTTCCCGTCCCACCGCCAGGTTGAGCAATGCAAGTCCGTCCAGATCCGCGTCGCGTAGCCACTCGTAGACCAAGTTGGCGTGGGCCACCAGGGCCGACCCGTTGCCCTTCCAGAGGCCCAAGTAGACGTTCTCGACGTCCAGGGACCGAAGACCCACCAGGAGACGCACGCCCTTCGGGCCGCCCTGGGACCGCAGGAGCCGCATTTTCTCGGCCACGGCTGCCGCGCCCATGGCCGGGGATCCGTCGCCGGGAACTGTCGCCGCCGCCGCGACAGAATTCGTGAAGCGTTCGAAGCCGAATTCAACAATACCACCTATCAACCAACACGCGGTTCTGATATCACGCCGCTGATGTCAGAACCGCGTGACCTGACGTTACAAGACCTATGCATCAATTTATTTTTCGCGCTATATTTAGCAGAAATATCGGGAAATATAACGGGATTCAGCAATCCCGCTATATTTAGCAAAAAAATTTAGGTCAGTGAGTTATACACTAATTCAGTTTGTAGGCTGAATTTGGCGGAAATATTGATGTCGCGTTTTCGGCTGCACACGCGACCTCTACACCAATGCAAACGTAGCAATTTTCTCGCTAGATTTGTTTGGGAAATTTATATCACATGACCTGGCGTCACGGGACTAATGGACCAATTCAGTTTCTCCGCTAAATTTGACGGGGAATTTCATGCCACGCGGTAGGACGTCACGTGACCTGTGCACCCATTTAGTTGCCCCAATATATGTAGCGGGAAAACTGACAACACGTGACGACCAATGCACCCGAAATGACTGTTTAATGTCTTCTAAACAAATTACAACTATCGCTCCTTAGATATTACATTCCAAGCATTATAGAATGTTTAAGATAAAGTTAGCTGTCAATTTTTTTTTTTTATCATTTCATATTTTAGTTATTAGTAACTTTCTGTGGTGTTCGTCGTCCTTTAGGTTGTCCGCTGCCTTTTTAGCCGATTTTATCTATAGAACCTAATAGAAACATACGCCAAATAAAATATGTTAGCCAATCATTGACGACGCGAGACCCAATCTGAGTATGGAGCTATACCGAAGCATGCTTCTATTCCGAAAATGAACTTTGACATAGAAGGATACTTCGGCATACTTCAACTGAGCCTCGCGACGCAAATACCGTGCTAAATTTAGTTTTCTTTTTTTATTTTATACGAGTTCGTTTTTTAGAACAATAAATTTACTTATTACCCAAGACGAAGCGCGAATTGCTCAGTCCAGGCAAACAACCGGAGACCGCTGTAGAATTATTCCCGCGTACTTGTTCCCCACACCCCCGAAATCATTATCACATATAACCATTAAAGGGGTAGTGAAACGAAATTTTAGCGCCGATCTTGTTGCATAAATATGGGCTAGGGACAGGCACCACCTCGGAAATATAAATATTGCGCTGTAAAACACAGGAGAACTAATTTTAAACATAATTAAACGAATTCAAATTCTCATCTGGTGGATGGGGGGAACTTCTCGTGACATCACTTGTGCCAAAATAGCAGCGCCGTTCTGCGGCAATACGACGTGCCGGCAGAATTCGCCTAGGCCTGAACGCGTTTGCAAAGCCTTGGCGGAGAAAGCCAAAGCGTAGTTGGCCACAGTGAGCTCGTTCTCGTTGCGGCTCTATGCACGACACGGCCCGAGCATGCTTCTGGCACGGCCGGTATTAGTTGCTGCGAGTCGCGAGCTGCAAGCCGACGTTAAAAAGGATATGTTTGAACTACGAGGATGTCAGCAAGAGCCACGCAAATGCCAAATACCTGTTCACACTCGGAGCGGACACGCGCGTTTGATCGAAGTGCTGGGTACGCTCTGTTAGACCGCGTTTCGGTAAGCGCTTCTGGACCGATCTTTCACGATTGCAACTCGATACTGACATGACACTGGGCAAAGAAAGGTTAGACCGACATCGCGTAGCTCCCACGAACTGCTATAGCTCGACAGTGACGTAGCGTCGAGTCAGAATAAAAATGGCATACTAATAACGGAGTCTACATACCGAGTTGCGAAGGTAACCCGTATGGCGTTTATTTGAGCTCTATATCACACAAAACAAGGAGATAGAATCAATGAGAGTCCCTTTTCGACGACAGCGTTCGTCACCGCTGTCTCGGAAAACAAGGAGATCGAGATGACAAGGGGAAAATATTGACCTCTGAAATTTAGTTCAGGGATCAAACTACCCATCCGGTAAGGGTCCACAAGGGTCGCGCGGGCATATTCCATTCAGCAGGCCAGCCGGTCATGGACAGACGGTCTTGGCCAAGGACCGCCGGAGCAACGGTGCGCCGAGTCGATGTTGCTGCTAGGCCTACTATATTCTGCCGAGCTCGCTCGGTCGGCAGAATCGTGGCCGTTGTAGCTCTTCTCGTGTGTTTGTAGATCCTGCGTTCTTGATCGTCGTGGTCTGTTTTAAGTACTCCTTCCTTTTTTCTTGCTGGTTGAAGTCGGGACGCACGAGAAGAGCACGAAGAAAAATAAATGTCCGTTGGTGGCCGATACCAAGTAACTGAGCGCTGTCGGCTTTGTTGATTTGATCGTAAAAAGTGCGTAAGACAGCTTCGGAGCTGTCGTAGGATTCTGTCGTAACCTGCGCAAAGGTTACGACAATTTCGTTTCGAGAGTACGGGTTTTCTCTCAAATTTGTCGTACGCACTTTTTTTGTCGTGAATTCGCTTTGAGAATCCGGCCTCAGAGCTGGTTTTGTCAGTGCTGCCGTGGTTGCCGACTTGCCGTGGTGCAGCGTGCGTGCAGCCCTTGCACATCTCAAACGGCCACGCTGTCACAGGTCGTAAATCGTCGACGCGCCACCAAGTGGCAACGCTCGTAACCACAACATTCACGCCGTAGCCTTTCCCGACTGGCACAAGTGACGTCACGAATGCGCCCAATATCCCAAGACGCATCGCGCTCTCCGATGGCCGATTTTTGAGCGCGCGCCCAATCGGGCCCATTAGGGTGAAAAATATAACCATCCGTTAGAAATACAAACGCGCGATTATGATTTATGAATATCATCGATCATATTGAACCTATTTCTGACCATAATAGGTGTATTTCAAGTTTCGCTTCAGTATCCCTTTAAACGTCCGTTCCTCACCCCTGCGGTGTGTGCTGTAAGCCTGTTTACAACGACTAACGTCGGTTTGCTCTATAGACCTTTTCCGCTTACTTTCGTCCCCGACCTTCAAGAGGGCATATGCAATATAAGCGAAAAAAAAAAAAAAAATCAGAACTTTTTAATCGGCAAAAAATAAAAAAAAAAAAAAAAAAAAAAAGAGGGGAGGCAAAACGAGAATGTGTGACGGTCACGTTTATGTCCTAAATGCCTTCTATTGGCGTGGCGACGACAGAACAATGTTTTCACCCATACTGGAAGTAACGACGATTCAAGATGGCGGCGCCCTTGCAAAAAAGGTCTATAGCGGCGACTGGAGTCACCATGCCAGTCCAGAGCCGTGTATGTAGAGAGTTTGGCCATTCGTTGGGAAGTATAGGAGACAAATGAAGCGGCGCCATTGGCCGAAAGCGGGCTGGGCGTGTTCCAGGGCGTCTTCAGAAATTCGAATGTGACGAACCAGAAGCCGGAAATAATACCCTGGCGGTGGTCGCGAGAAACAAACCTGATAACTGCATTGGAGTAACTCTCGATGGCTGAAAATATGGTACACGTGATGTTTCAATCACACTCATCTAAAATGATGGTGGAAGAGTGCGACTAGCGGAAAGATCGACATAATCCTTACGCCAAACGCCGAGCGCCGGGAATCTGCCGTCAGAGCGGTCACACTCTGTCCGCGCAAAACAGAGTTGAGCGGCGCATTCGTTTCTTACATCTTTCTGCATGATCATGATGAAACAACACGCGCACCCTATTTTCAACCACAAAGAGTTACTACGCTTCACTCTTACGCACTTATTAAAACTTATACGAACACAGACCTTCGATGATCGATCGGCTCAGAACTGTTTCTCGCTACCACCGCTAGGGGATTCTTTTCGGCTTCTGGTTGGGCAAGAGAGCATGCCAAGCCCTCTTTCCGAGTCTGCCGCACGCCCTGGCTCTGCCCGCGCCTCCCATTGACCAAACTCTCTACATATACGGCTCTGTGCCAGTCTAAGGAAAGCAGGGCGGAGGCGGGCCCCGGGAATCCCATTATCGTTCCAGCAGCCAATGACGTCAGCCGTAAAGAACTCTCAAGAACCAATCGGAGAGCGAGGAGCGTGAACGTGCCACGCAGAGTCGTTAGCTCAGTTGGTAGAGCGCTCCACCAGTCTTGGAGGGATCCCAAGATCCAGTCTGGTATAGACCTATGCATCGCTTATCGCCGCAGCGAAAAATGCCTGTGTCACTGAGCTGCGGAGGCATGCGCAGCGTCCGATATACCGCGCAGCAGATCAACAGCGTCTGCTCAGAAGGCATTCCACAGCTTAGCAGACAAAGATGGCATCACGCAGAAGACGATTTTTGCAAAGGTCTTGTAGCGGCACGCTACAGCGAGTAAAGAAGACGAAGAACACCAGCTCGAGAAAAACACCATCACTTGCACGCGGGGGCTCGAGATGACAAGGCGAAGGGCTACGCAGTCCACGTTCCACGATCTTCAGATTTTGACTCTTTTGTAAATAATGTAAATATACGATTTGTTAGCAAATGAGAATATCCTTCTTGCTACAGTCTATACCAGGCGGATTTTTTCCAGAGCCACTGATCAGCCTCCTAGAGGGTGCGAATTGCGCTCCATCTTAGTTACGAGTGAATGTATTATGTTGTGTACAGGAAGTTTCCGAGAAAAATGAACTGGTGTTTTTTCGGCCCGAGTAAATTAACTACGCATCGCAGGAAGCTCAGACTCCTTGAGAATATGACGCTAGTGGTTGGGATAGAAAGAGAAAGTTTGGGAACATGACACGGTACCTGGGTCAAAGGATATTTGAGAGAAACGGAATTACTCTATAAAATCCGACGTCCACCTAAGCTTAATCTCGTTAAAACAAGAAATGACACCGTGGGCGCCTGTAGCGTCTTTTTCAGTGAAGACAACTTGAAAGCAACACAGAGATTATTGTTTTCTTTTTTGCTGACATTTTTTTTTACTGCAATTATTGCTACAGGTGCCCACAGTGTAATTTTTAGTTTTGAGTATAGTAGCCTATAGGTTGACGTCGACTCATTAATAAATTTAGATTTTCTCAATTAT